CCAGGATAAGTGCCGCTGCTTCCATCCTTGCAACTTTTGCAAAAGCTTCTCCTCCAGGAAGCGAAATGTTTCAGACTTCGACCGGGCAATTAAATTAGGCAGCCCTAGATACTTATCCTGGACCCCCATAGCCCCAACCCCCAATCGCGCCGCCATTGCCTCACAATCCTCCTGAAGGACATTGCGACTAAAGCAAACAGCCGACTTATCCAGATTAACCCGCTGTCCGCTCAATCCCTCATAGTCTGCCAAAACTTGGAGCAGATTCTCACACTGTTGCATCGAGGCTTGCACAAACATATATGAGTCATCCGCAAAGAATAGATTAGTCACCCTAGGTGCACGCGGGCTAACCCGCACTCCTGTTAACCGCCTGTCCAGCACTGCTTGTTTAATCAAAGCAGTCAACCCCTCTGTACACAGAACAAACAGAAGAGGGGATAACGGATCCCCTTGCCGCAGGCCCCGGGATGACCGAAAATACCCAGCCGGCATTCCATTCATCATAACGGAAAACGAGGACGACGAAATACATTCCTGAATCCACAGCACCCACTGCTCCCCAAACCCCAGCTTCTTCAAGATCGAAAGTAAGAAGGACCACTCGACCCTGTCATAGGCCTTTTCCATGTCAACCTTTAGGGCCATGTACCCCTTCTTCCCTTTCTTCTTGATTTTAAGATAGTGCATGATTTCATGACCAATCAGAACATTATCAACAATTTGCCTCTCCTTGATAAAAGCATTTTGCTCAGGAGAAACCACTGCTGGTAACACCAACGCAAGTCGATTTGCCAAGATTTTCGAAATAATCTTATAAACCACTTGGCATAGGCTAATCGGCCTCAACTGGCGCATCGTCTCAACCTCCTCCACTTTAGGAATCAACGTAATCCACGTATGGTTAAAACTCCGGAGCAGCTTCCCATTCTCAAAAAAAGACCCCACAGCCTCCACCACCAAGGGCCCAACTACGTCCCAATACGACCGAAAGAACTTCGCCGTGAACCCATCTGATCCTGGCGCTTGCGTCGGACCTATCGAAAAAACCGTACGCCTGATCTCCTCCGCCGAAACAGGAGCAACCAACTTCTGATTCATATCGGCCGTGACCAGCCTCTCAATCGGCAACGCCGCCACCCTAGCATCCACATCCCCAATCTGGGTTTCTGATGTAAAGAGAGTATCAAAAAACTCCACTGCCATTTTGGCCTTATCAGGCTCTTCCTCAACCCATCCCCCATCCTCACCATGGAGTTTGGCGATAAAGTTCCTCCTCCGCCGCTCGCGTGACCGTATGGAAATACGAGGAATTTCTATCCCCTTCCTTTAGCCATCGCACCCGGGACTTTTGTTTCCAAAACATCTCCTCCGCGGCCCATTGTCGTCCCAACTCCCCTTCTAGATCCTTTATCTTATCCCAGTCCACCGGGTTAACCTTCCTAATCGCCTCGATCTCTTCCTGCAGAGTTCGAATATTTCTGGCTGAATTAGACACCCCAGCGCGGGCCCAATCATACAGCATATGCCAGACCTTTTTAAGCTTAGTCCACAATTTATACATGGGCGACCCCGCCTCCTCCTGCGACCAAACATAGTTTATCATCAGACGCACCTCCGGGTTTTCCACCCATCGGGCGTCAAATCGAAATAATCGTCTGACCGTTCTCTTAAACGGTTTATCCGCCACAACGAGCGCCCGATGATCGGATCCAATATCCGTACAATGGAGAACAATCGTGTCCGGGAAAGCCTCCATCCAGCCATCCGAGCCTAGCGCCCTATCCAACCTTTTTTGCACGCACGCGGCCCCCATCCGCTTGTTGGTCCACGTGAATAATGGTCCCTGGAACCCAAGATACCGCAAAGCCAACCCATCAACAAAATCACGAAAATCCTGGGACTGGGCAGGAGTCCACGGCACCCCTCCCTCCTTCTCACTAGAGGACAAAATCGAATTGAAGTCCCCCATGACGACAAAAGGTTCAGAAATACCTTGACAATAAACACGAAGAGCCTCCAACTGCCCTCTCCGCACAGCCTCAACACAACTAATGTAAACACACACCACCACATACGGTCTTTCCATATTATTATTAATTCGAAGAGAAATAAAGAAAGAAGAACTAGACAAAACCGAGGCACCAATGCTCAGGGACCACCCTACCGCTAGGCCGCCAGACATATCAACGGCATCAACAAGAAAACAGGAATCAACATCAAAACCTAACCCTCGCATACGACGAGTAACAACTCTACGACGAGATCTAGTCTCCGACAAGAAAACCAAATCCGGATTATTGACTCTAACTAGCCCTAACAGCGATTGGAACGTGAAGGACGGCCCAATCCCTCTCACGTTCCACGAGAGAAGCCTCATTTGATCGATTGGGGCCATTTCGGGCTGGCTACCTCCACCGCTTTCCTTGGCTCCTCGCCTGTCTTTTCCGCGAAAATCTTCTTAGTTGGTGTGGGATCCCGCGGAAGATCCTCCACCACGTCCGCCGGTCGCTTTCGAACCTCTAGCTCCTCCTCCGCAACCGCCATCCTGAAAACCTCCGATAACTTGGTCAAATTAGACCCATACTCATCAGCCACCGCTGGGCTCGCATCACCCATCACTACCTCCTCGTCCCCAGCCTGCTTCTCCACCACCCTCGCAATCGGGTCTCTATGGAGTGGGTCGGCCTTGTTATTCACAGCCAGCCCATTATTCTGGGCCGCAGGCCCATTATTCTGGGCCGCAGGCCCATCCCCATCCCCAGCCGCTGAAACCCCCATTTGGGCCGGGTCCAGCTTATTCTCCACAGGCCCAGGTCCTTCTCCCTTAGCCCCGAGGCCCGCCATCACCATCTGGGCCGCCTTCAAACTCCCTTCCTCATTCAGCCCACCCCCCACGCGAGACAACATTTTGGTCGGCGGCGCCGCCCTCATCCCCAGCACCCTCCGCCCGCCTCTGCTTCCCTTTCCCACCGCCCTTCACGCCTTCCCCCTGCTGCTTCACCACCAGCTCCTCTCGTCCCCCATTAGTCGGCGGAAGCTTCCCTCGTGCACTAGGCGTTGTGCCCTTGGGCTGCCGTGCCGATTTCGCTCGATTCCCTGCCTCCTCCATCTGCACCCCACGCCCCTGCATCTTCCCTTGGGACCCCTTGAGCTCGCGAGCACCACCCGCGGGGAGAGCCAAAACCGCTTCCCCCGCCGTCCCCTTCTCCGCCGGCTTCCGCTTCTCACCGCGCCCCGTCGCCGAGCTAGCGCCAAGATTCTCTTTCGTTTTGGGATTAACCCACACAGACTGCGACAGCGGTGGGGCGTTGAATTGGGCCGCCTTGAATGTCTCTGTATTGAGCCGAAATCCCACCTCAGTAGTCGCCATTTCTTGGCTGAACCTCTCCTCTCCAGTCGGCGCCGGGAACACACAGTTCCTTTCCATATGCCCCAATCTGCCACAGTGAAAGCAGAACATGGGGAGGAACTCATAGGCGAAAGTCACCCAGAACTTCCCAGCAACTTCATTACTCGCCCAAACCTGCGATCGCAGCGGCTCTAGCACATTTATCTTCACCCGAGCTTTAATAAACTGGTCCGATTCTCCTTTGATGCCGAACAGTCCGACATCCATCACCTCTCCCAGCTTCATCTCCGCAACTCTTCTTCCAAAAGCAATGGTACGGCAGTGGGATGGGATTCCCCACATCTGCACAGCAAATGGCGCAAAACCAAGGGAATCGTACACCTCCTCCGTCACCGGAGCCCACCGCTGGAGCTGTAGGACTCGATCCTTCACCGGCCAGGGCGTCCGCTTCAGTACCCATTCCATATCCTCTGCATCATCAAACAGGAATTGGAACAATCCCATCTCTGCTTCCAACACCTGCACCTTCTTCCGACATTCCCACGCATTGGAGACAATTTTGTGGATGACCGACAGGCTTGGTCGATTCTCAATGAAAAGCCTCCCCAGCAAGCTCATCTTCGCTCTCTGCATGCTCACAGCAACATCTTCATCGGAGAACTCCACTATTTGATCTTGGCATATGTTCGACACCGCCATTGTGCACACTCCCTGCAGCTCGAGGTAGCTCTTCGATTCTGGGGCACTCACACTCACTCGTACTGATGAGGTAAGCACTCGGAAGTCTCTAAGTCTCTAAGTATGCAACTTTCTATATTTTAAACTAAATTTATGTTACTTTTACTCTCAATCATTCGCTAACTGATAAATAAACACCATTTGCCCCAAAGGAAGGATTCCATGCGTAAAAAATTTCCTTCATCAATTGTCAAAGTTTTGTCCACCTTATTGACTAACAATACCAATCAATCACTTACATTAGTTGAATCTACTTCTTCAAGAGTTACTACATTGTTTCAAGAAATCACTACATGGTTGTTGGTCATATTTGTTATATGTCTGTCATTTGGGCACCCAATCGAAGACAATACATTGTCTGACTGACTATTGGTGAACTCTGTATCATAACTTATATCCTTCATACCTTCAATTTCCGGTGCATAACCCGTGTTGTGGTAAAAAAAGATAATATCTACTAGGAAAAACATTTCAGGAACATACTAAACTCCATCACATGCCAAATTTTTTTCTTCATAGTAAAACTTGATTACGTAGTTTTTTTTAAGGAATTGATTACGTAGTTATGAATGGAAGCATCTCTAATGTTCATCTACATAAAATATGTAAGTAGCGTACTCTTTTTCTATAAATAAGTGTCAGACTATTAATTGTACATCTTTGTTAGTGATAGTATATTTTTCAGGGTTAATTGCATAGTTGGTCACCGCACTACCACCGCCACCGCTTGGAAAGTGCATGTCACCGTAGCAAAATCCTAAATTTTTTGGATATCGAAACGTAATTTTTAAGTGACATTTCTCGAATAAAAAATAAAGTTTAGAGACCAAATTATGAAGTATAAAAAGTATAGGTAGTAACTATAATTTACTTGTCTTTGATCGACACGTAAACCTCTGTGATTTCTCCCTCCCTTTTTCTCATATGGCTGCTACAATACAATACAAGCCACTATGGTCCATGGAAAAGTAGGACATTAGAATCGTACGCAAATTTTGGACTTGACAGTTCATCTTCATCCCCCCCAACCATCCTGATCCTATATATATTTCCAATCAAACAACAAGAAGATCAACCTCTAACAAAGCTGCAATGGCGCCCCTCATCCTCATCATCCTCTCCCTTGTTCCCCTTCTGGCCTTGTTGATCAGGAACTACTTACTATCTTGTAAAAAAACGAATCTACCACCAACTCCTCCTAAGCTTCCGATTCTGGGCAACTTGCATCAGCTCGGCGCTCTGCCCCATCAGTCACTCTGGCGGCTCTCCAAGAAATACGGTCCCGTGATGCAATTCCACTTGGGCCGCGTCCCTGCCGTCGTGATCTCCTCCCCTGAAGCCGCCAGAGAGGTGATGAAACTCCACGACCTCGCCACCTGCAGCCGCCCCTCCATGGCAGGGACGCGCCGCCTCACCTACGACTACCTCGACGTCGCCTTCTCCCCCTACGCCGACAACTGGCGCTTCATGAGGAAGATCATCATTCTCGAGCTCTTCAGCCTCAAGAGGGTCAGGTCAGTGGCTGGCGGACCCAGAAATCTAAACGAGAGAGGATTGATTTTGAATCGTGATACGTAGCGAGCGACTAGTCAATTTTCTAAATTTATACGAATGTCACATGTTACATTTATCCGTATTTCAAAATTGAGCTGGGTAGTAGCACTTACTGGATATAACCTAGCTCCGCCGCTCGCTCTGTTTCAGGTCGTTTCGGTTGGTCCGGGAACAGGAAGTCGGGTTGCTGATCGACTCCATCGTCACCTCCGGAGCTGATCAAATCAACCTCACCGAGAAACTCTACTCCCTCACGGCGAACATAACGTTCAGGATGTCGTTCGGATTCGACTACCGCGGGACCGAGTTCGACAAGAACAGGTTTCACGAGGTGATTCACGAGGCAGAGGTCGTCGCCGGGAGCATGTCGGCAGAGGAGTGTTTCCCGCGGGGATTGGGTTGGGTTGTGGATAAATTGACCGGTCATCGGGCGAGGATCGAGAGGGTTTTTGGCGAGCTCGACGGTTTCTTCCAGCATGTCATCGATGAACACCTTCAGAAAGGAAGGGAACGAGATGATCAGGAAGACATGATCGACGTGCTGCTGGGAATTTACAGGGAGCAATCTCGACAACCTCTCGCTGGCGGTGGCAAGTCTCAGTTCGGAATGGATAACATTAAGGCTCTTCTCCTGGTAAGGCCTTCTCTCTGTATTTTTTGGGTCCATCTTGCAGTCGGAGTATCGGTATCTATTTCAAGGGAAAGAAATCGTTTTTGATAAGTTCGATTTTATCAAAGTAAAAGAGAAATCAATTATACAGTATTTATTTCAACAAACGTTTCTATGTCATTGTTTGTGTTAGATGAAATGATGACGTAACTTTAGTTTTATAATCGAAATAATAGATTCTATACAATCATTAATCCCACACTAATCACGCAATAAGTAGTGGTGGATGAAATTCGTGTGATTGGTTAATACGCTTGATCATAAGCATGAAAACATAACATTGGTTGATGAGTTGATAGATATTTGCCATAAAAAAGTTTACATATGTGTAAGAATGAACATCTGCTTACTTTTGTGCTTTAGCTAGGCGAGTTGTTTTGATATGGAATTGGATGAGTTCGATTGTCTTAGAATGAAGTAATTGGATTAGATTTTATAGTTTAACAACACAAAATGGGGATGCACCAACTGGGCCGAGACAAGTTTTGAATTTTCTTGTTTCGCATCAATCTGAATTGATATGACAAAAGTTTTGTGAAATGATGCACCGCAATGAGACAATTTTAATATACGATCAAATCAAATTGACTCACTCCAGAAATCCACCGATACCTAATGAGGTTGCCTAGTATTAGTATATACCACCATTGACCATTATACTATTTTTTACAAGTAGAGAAATCATTTGGAAATTGAAATGTCTTCCATTTGAAAGTATTAGCAGTCGAGTTACATTTTTTTTGTTTTTTCCTGATATGATATTGAACTAATCTCTTTACTTGATATGACATTGATTTGTCACAGAACTTTTTCTTGGGAGGAATTGACACGGCTGCACTGACTGTGAACTGGGCCATGGCCGAGCTTCTAGCCAACCCCAGACTAATGAAGAAAGCACAGGCAGAAGTCAGAGACGTCGTCGGAGACAAAAACAGAGTCACCGAAGACGACGTCGAGAAACTCGAGTACCTCAAATTGGTCATCAAAGAAACTCTGCGACTCCACCCACCGGCGCCCCTGCTACTCCCCAGAGAATCCATCTCCCCGTTGAAAATCAACGGATACGACGTTCCCCCAAAGACGATGATCTACATCAACGCTTGGGGGATCGGGCGAGACCCGAATCACTGGCCGGAACCAGACAAGTTCTTGCCGGAGAGATTCGAGGACAGCTCGTTGGAGTTCAAAGGGCAGAGCTTCGAGTACCTGCCCTTTGGATCCGGGCGCAGAGTCTGTCCTGGAATACACATGGGAACGATTACAGTGGAAATTGCGCTGGCGAATCTGTTGTGTTGCTTCGATTGGAAATTGCCCGATGGGATGACGGCGGAGGATGTGACCATGGAAGAACAGAGTGGCGTCAGCTTGACTGTGTCCAAGAAAGAACCGCTCCTCCTCGTCCCTGTCAATCGGATCAAGTGATGAAAAATACCACACTGCTCTGCAGCATCGAGTTTCTACTTAAATCTTTTTCTCCATTAATAAGTCTAGCTATGTGTACTTTGAATAAGTTGGGGACTATAAAAGTTGATCACGATAATTAGGATTTTGATTCAGACTTTTTCGTCCACACAATTAGTTCAAAGCTGCTGGCTGTGTTGCAGAGGCAATGCTTCAACTCTTACATTGATGCAATTTTCAAGTTGGCATTGAAGAAGAGCAGTAGTGAGAAAATGAGTCAACAGTAGTTATAAATGAAAATAATTCCATCAAACGCAACGCAAGCCATGATGTCACAAGCCACATGCTGACCATAACTTTCGTCCATATCTAGTCCCTACCATCGAAGCGGTAAGTTTCAGTTCGTGGATCTCGTCTCGTCTCAATCTTGCAACTGTATCTCTCCTCCCTAGATCTTGCTTCTGCAATGGCGGAGTTGAAGTTGATCGGAGCCAAGTACAGCCCGTTCTGCTTCAGGCTGGAATTGGCACTGAAGCTGAAAGGGATACACGAGTACGAGTACCTTGAACAAGATCTTATCAACAAGGGCCCCATCCTTCTCCATTACAATCCCGTGCACAAGAAAGTCCCCGTGCTCGTCCATGGCGAAAACCCAATCATTGAATCGCTCGCAATCCTCGAATACATCGACGAGACATGGCCTTCATCCCCTTCCTTGCTCCCCAAGCATCCTTATCCAAGATCCCAAGCTCGCTTCTGGGCCAAATTCGCCGACGAAAAGGTACACAGTGAGAACAATAGCCAAATGGGTTTTCTTTTCTCCGCCTCTTGTTGTATCATTCATTCATTCATCCACTTGCTTTGCTGTTGGTCGTTTTCAACAGTGCGCGCCTGGAGCATGGGATACTTACTGGCGGCTGAAAGGAGAAAAGAAGGACAAGGCCATAGAAGTTGCGATGGAAAGGTTTGAGCATCTTGAGAAGCTGATTCAGGGCAAGAAATTCTTCGGCACTGGGGGCGACGACAACGATGACGAACAAGGGGAAGGAAGGGTGGAGAGGATTGGGTATTTGGATTTGGTGTTGGGTTGGATCCCACTTTGGGTTGAGGTAATGGAAGAAATTGGGGAGATGAAGCTGCTTGACCCTCACAAGTTCCCAGGTCTGTGCCGATGGGGTCACAAATTCGTCGAGGTCCCGGTGATCAAGGAATGCCTTCCGTCCAGGGAGACGCTGGTTCAGTACTTCACCATCGCCACTCCCATGATGCGCGCTCATTTCACTTAGTGAAGCAGCAGTAAAAGAGCACCATCAGCAGCTGCTGTATCCTGTAATGTAATTCCTCTGTATCCAAGTTTGCTTAATAACGAGTTTACTTGTTCTAGCACTACTATTCTAAGGGCAGCATGTGTGAATCAATGTCTGAAGCATTCAGTTGGTATAACAACACGGTGGCATCTGCACCAGAAACCATTGCCACCGCTTCTACCTCTACCGAAAGCGAGTTCTTCAACCAGAAGAAGAAAGGATCATCCTTTGTGGTTGCTTCTCTATCCTGTTCCTTACTAGCACCGCCGTCCCAATCTCGAGACGGGCCGAGTTGGATTCAGATTCGCTGCTAGTTACGCTGGCAGAACCTCGCACCACATGAACATTCAACATACTAACAATAAAAGCAATGAATATGATCCCATAATAAGAGTTATGTACCGGGGTATTAAAGTATGACGACTATTCCACAAAATCACAACATATCCCATGGAGGGCAAAACTAAAACCCCTCTCCTCGGAGTGTTATCACAACTAAAGAACAAATTTACTGGCTATAACAGAATCATCCACCCCCACACCCAGTAAGCAACAACAAACACTCTACAGTCGATGTTCACTACAGAAAACCAAGGAGCCAGCGTACATGAATATTTAACCTTCTTGCACCGGCGAGGACATCACCTGTCACAAACAAAGCCGATCAAGTTGTTGAGCGCAGGAAACTTCCAACCGGACGAGTCTTTAAGAAGCATTAGCCGACTCACCTCATACGACAAAATTGCTTAAGCTGAAATTGCAGGAAGTTTCATCACTTTACCGACCGCAATTGTCTTCCCTGCAAGGTCAAATGTTCATTTCAGACCCAAGCCAGTCAACACAACAGTTCAGTATAGCCCGAGGGCAATCAGTCGATCCAGTTACCCTCGGTTCTAAGAGTGAATCTGCCCAGTTGCGGGAAATCCGAGAAAAGTTCTACGCAGATCGTGCTATTCACCTGTTAGTAATGAAAAGAGATAATCATCAAAATATGCTTTTCATATCCAAGGATCGAGAAGGTGAGAAAGAAAAAAGATCGGTCATCAACTGAGCCAAGGAACACCAGAGGATATTTTGGATTTTTCCTACTACTGAAAACTTGCAGATCGAATTCCAGGGGTACTTACCTGAATACGGCACTTGACAATTGCACCATTCTTCACAAAAAGGGGTCTCTTCTTCATAGCTTTCCTAGTCTTCAAATCTATTTGCTCAATTAGCTCAGTGATCTCACATTCTTCAACAACAGAATGGATGTGCAGAACAGCTTTGTAACCAGCCGTAAAAATTGCCTACAGCAGAAAATGTATACATTACGTTCAGATACCATGCACAACAGCAAGTAGATAGAGAAAGGAGACCAGCATACATTATCCAACAGCTCAAGGATCTGCAACTGAGCGATGAACTCCGTAACTCCAACAATAGGTTTTGCTGCACAAACAGCTGGGTGTTAGAACTAAATATCAGAAGCAAGATCCCATCTTAAATACTGCCCATACACTTCAAAGCTCAGACAGCTAACTATTCTGCAAACATCAACCGAGTTCAACCAATAGTGATCATTTCCCAAAAATGAGGAGTCAATCAATCTCGCAAAACCAAACAAAAAAATGTCTTATTTATTTATTGGATTTCATGTTACTCGAATCAAATCCACAAGTTGATCTATTAATGAGATAGAGTAAATTCTGTTACTAGCCAGGAAAGTTGTGGGATATGGTTATCTTACCAACACTGGACAATACAAAACCAGCTAATATATCTTCATCATCGATTCCAGATAATCTAACCCGTAGATTCTCCCCAGGTCCTGCACGTCTAACCTTATTTTCGTCGATGTATACTCCAACAACTTTCACATGGGTCTGCAAGATGATTAAATTAACAATCAAAATTCTGAAGAGTCTGCAAGATGATTAAATCAACAATCAAAATTATGAACAAAAAGAGGAGCACCTAGCAGATACAAAGGACTCCTGAATACAAACCTTATTAGGCATCACCAACAAGGAGTCGCCCTCGGTCACAGTGCCAGATTCCACTTTTCCCATAACAACAGTTCCCATGTCCTTAAATTTATCAATGATGGGCATCCTAAGTCAAAGATAATTGTAACATGTTCAGTACATGGTTTACGGAGGACAGGTCAAGTATTAAGAAGTTGAAGAAACCCACTAAACTGCAACTTGAGTAAAATACACAATTCTATAGGGGAACTGGGAACGAAAATCACGATGATAACATTCCTCCTAAACTGAAATCATTTCCAAAACACTGGATTGTGACAGAAAACATGTCCTGATATGATCCCAAATGGTCCATTATACACATTTAATTTACTTGACGAAGAAGTTATCGAAGTTGGGAAGAAGAAGAGCAGAATTTGGTTAAGTCAAAATCCGTGTTCAGGGTACCTACTTTGGAGGTATGGTTCTCTCAATTGGCTTGATGAAAATTCAAGGTTAAGGGTTTGTTTTGAAGATAAAGTTGTCATATTTCCAATGGTATGCTTTTTGGATCCAGAAGATGTCATTAAGATTGTTTTCCAATGCCTCAAAGTTGCTACCTCAAAATTGGAAAACTGCCTGGAAATGGCTAAGGCAGAAAACTGTTTTGTGAAGCCTACTTTGGAGCTCAATTCAAGAAGCATGGATGGGATTCAAGTCAAAAGGCTTCCACAACATGAAACTAGGTATGTTTGTGAACAAAGGGAAGGAATTGGATGAAGAATTGGAGTTCTAGACGGTCTTGAACGAAAGGCGCGAAGTTAGTATGAAAGCTGCTTTTGGACTATTTGCTGGCAGCTTACTTGTGCTTCAAGAAAGGAAGTTTAAACCCGAATTTTGTGTCCTTTTTAGATTAGATTTTTACCTTAATTGTTTCCTAGTTCTATTAGGTTTGTTTTAGGTTTATTTGCCTTTAAATACCTTCTAGTTTTCGTTGCAATAGTTAGACTTTGATTAATCGAAAAGAAACCTTTAGGTTTTGTGCAAGTTGCGTACTTGTGAGAGCTTTGGTGGATTCCAAGCTCGAGTTTAGCTCTGTATCGATCAAAACCACATTGATCGTGGGCGGGCATCTACCTTTATATCATTCGAGCCTTCTTCCACGTGAAAGATTGCACGTTTGATTCCGTTTTATCCAAACACCAAAGAACATCCTTGTTTTTTGTTCGAATTTCGATTTAATCAATCCAATCCTTGAATTGATTGTGTTGCTGCGTACTTTAGTAAAAATCCAACCCCCCAGGGTTGCATTATGTCCACGTTTGTGAGAAAAAACATCAGCTGACTGTGTATATCTCTAAAGTCATAAGTTGATTGAAGTGACATCCAATGCAGAACATACAGCCAAGAGCTTTAATAGACGAACCACACACAAGAAATGTAGTGATAAACGGAAAAAATGCAGATCAATGTGATAGGAAAAAAAACAAAGTCAACAAGGGGAACATACCATACCTAAAAGGACCATTAGGATCTCGAGGAGGAACTTCAATGGAATCAAGAGCTTCAAAGAGACATGGGCCGGACCACCATGAACAGATGGTTTTATCCATTCTAGTTTTCATGTTTGCGCCTATCAGACCAGATATCGGTAGGAATACGAGATCTACAAAGAAAAGGAGGATCAAACTCCAATATGTGCAAACCCCACTCTGTTACAAGTGGTTTGATTTAAAATTTTAATTAAGAAGGCATCCTAAAAACCAGAAGTGCACTATGATTGTGTAAAGAGAAACAAAAGCAATGGTGATACATGTCTGTAGCTTAAGAACTAGTGAAACAGTAAAATTTTGAGGAAGCACTTTCTGAAATTGCCAAGCAGATCAAACCATGTGCGAAGAAGTAAATTAATATAGGCTCGTATCATCCCACAGAAGTCTGTTCCCACTGATAATATTCCTAAGCCCAGCAGGGCTTTTAATTTTACTAGCACACCCATTAATCAGACGCATCAAGACACAAATAATATCCAAGTGAACCAGAAAACTTTAATACCTTTCTTTACATTGTAACCAGAAGACTTGAGGAATGGTACCATCTTAGATTCAATTTCGTCATACCTAATAATCGATGAACCAGACCAGAGTAAACAAAACGCATTACTTGAACTTGAATAGCTCAAGGAAATAGTGCCCAAAAATAAGTCACCTTTCTTTTGACCAATTTACAGTAGGATCATCCATTTTGTTGACAACGACAATCAGCTTAGAGACACCCAAGGTCTTTGCCAGCTGAACGTGTTCACGGGTTTGGCCACCTCTCTCATATCCAGTTTCAAATTCACCTTTTCGTGCAGAAATTACCTAAGCAAATGGAACAAGGGTTCAAAAACTTTAATATTGGGGAACCTGCAACTAAAATTGACTAACAGACTTGTAGTTAACACTTACAAGAACCCCAATGTCAGCTTGAGATGCTCCACTTATCATATTTGGAACGTAACTCTTGTGACCCTGTATTCATTCAAAGAACATAAAGATATTATTATTGGAAAAGGATTTAATGGCATGCGGGACAAATTTAACATGTATAGACAGACAAACAAAACAAAAACTTGCTTCCAAATTACCCCACCATAGATTGGCATTGCAATCTTGGTTCCTAACTAAGAGTTCTGTGGAAGTCCGAAACTATAACTACTTTCCTAGGATCATTTGTCTAACATAATTTAAACAGTACTTTACATTCTACTTTACTCAACAGGAAAGCCAGATAGCATCCGAAGGCCGATGCATATGCAAATATCTACTATACAAAGTGGCTAAGGAAAAGATAAGGAGAGAAAGTCAACTGTTCACCAAGTACCATACTAAACAGAGGATTCCTTAGGAATGAATACCACACACTATTCAAGGATTCCTTAATTATGGGCCTAGCTGCACTTTCTAACTATCCTTCTACTTGACTAATAATCGTGTTCATGAACAATGTATCTGAGGCCTCTTTGATGCAACAGCACCAATGCATGAAGCCACTGATGAATTGTAGCACACCAATCACAAAGCAGCCCATCGCTAGTAATTTCTAAATTCTCAAGTGGTCGGTTTTCAAACTTCTTTCAGAAGAATTTGGAAGCACAAGACCACTTCGATAACTATCCTACTTAGAGTAATGATTGTGTTAATGACACATGTGACTGAAACTTCTTTGATGGAATAGCATTCACAGCATGAAAACAAGGATGGAATGGCGGCTGATCAATCACCAACATACCATCGTGAGTGATTTATGGTCCTCTATGGTAAGTTTTTAAACTTCTTCTTACAGATTTGGCAACAATGCCATCCTATAAATAGGTAGTAACACATTAAACTGGACTTCAACAATGGAGCAGAGAGGGGACGAAGAACAAGAGAGTGGGCAGCGAGATTTGTGGGTAGCACATTTCCAATGAACAAGACCATAACACCAATGCCAGGCACCAACCGACAAATCTAACTTAAATTTAAGTCAATGTAGACGAGATACAAGCAACATTCACTCACCGGCGCGTCTAAAATGGTGAATCTTGTTGTCTCTGTTTCAAAATGAGCTCTTCCAACTTCAACAGTTTTTCCCTACAGTCAGCAACACATGACATATACATAAGCAAGACCAAGGAATTGATGAAAAGATACATTATACTATAGCTAAGCAACATCTCAGGGATATGATTCAGCGAGAAGCCACTCAGAACAAACCTTGAGTCTCTCCTCTTCATTGGTGTCCATGATATACGCCATGTACCTATAAATCAGGACCAATTAATGATGGGTTAAACGGGTTAAATAAAACTAAGAATCCTGACAATAGCCATCAAAATCTGCTCTATTGGCCAACATAACATCTCAAGTCGGGTGTATAGCATACTAAACGACCACAAGTCTCTTCAATTCAGAGATAGCTTCAATCATATGGAGCGCAACTAAGGGAGTTTTTTTCTTTTTTTGCATTTCATTCAATAAAGCCAAAAAAGAACATAATATCATTTACTGTTAATCCATTCTGAGAACCAGTATGTACCAGCTTTCTCTACTTTTATCCTTTGCTTCTTTTTCATATTTCTGAATTGTACGGTCATCAACCTGACCACTGAGAAACAGTATCTGGCCTCCGGTGGTGGACTTGCCAGCATCTGCAAACCCAAAGTAAATTATCTTAGTACTTCAAAAAGAAATAAGGAAGTTAGAAACAACTCAGCTAATGTATTTGAGAAAACAAAAAAATTGAAAAATAAGCAATGAGATAAAAATACAACAATGAATACAGCATCCTTCAAGATACTAAGCTGAGAACTGTCTATGAAAAGACAACCAGCTGCGTTACATAACTTGTGCAGATATCTTCAATTTTAATGGAAGTACCAATATCCAAGCCAACTTACCAACATGTCCAATAAAAACAACATTTAGATGCCGCTTCTTATTCCCCACTTCCTCCTTAGATGGCTCTTCCACTTCTGGTGCACGTACTTCCTTGTGTGGCACTGCATAACCAATCCCGATAAGTAGAGAAATAGAAATAAACTATAAAATCAGAAAATAGCGGCAGAAGTGGCCCATTAGACCTTCTGCCTCAGCTTGCTGCACCTCCTCGCTGCTCACAGAAGTGTCGGGTTTTGAATCTACCAATATTTAAACCAAAACCAATAAGGAGACCAATTCATACAGCACCAAGCATAATTAATACTCCACTAAACTAGTTCACAAGCTAGCCATCAGATTATATATCAAGTTTCTCCAGGACATCCAAGAGTTTGTTGCTTGAATCAAGGAAAAGCAAGTTAAAGAGAGGAAAAACTTAAGAAAGATCAAACTTAATGTCACAAAAGAAGCCCTTCAACAGTAGATGTTATTCCCACGGCAAATAGTGCATTGTCCTCCATCAACCAAAAAACATAAACTATTTTGCAACCAGCCAAAAAAGTAAGCAGCAGCATCTAAAAGGATCTAAACCGCAGACAACCAGCGTCTTATATTCACAAGAAAGAAAAAAAAAACCCCATAGGATCATCGTTTCTTTGTCCCCTAGTCTACATGTGAAGGACCAGTTCGTGAGGATGCATTCTCACATAAGTTGCACATATGAAGAATAAAGACCCAGGGAACATTTGCCTAATTTACAGCCAAGCTGCAAGGACTCAAAAGACCCAACATACATAGTCATAGTGTCATACAGGTTTTAGCACTATGGAACTAAATGGCTTGTAAGATAACAACTATCTAAATGGCATGGAATGCATTCCAAACCCTTTAGAAATGCCTTAATGATTCTTTACTTGTAAGGGTTGCGCCTAAAAGAACTCAATACAACTATGTGCAGGCGGAAGAATGTGTGAAAAGGGGGAAAAAAAAAAAAAAAAAATCCAATCGCTACAATCATGCCTAAGCCACCAACCTTCATCCATTTTATCGACCTCTTCAACATGTTCAGGCTGTGCATCTTCTGGATTTATGGCCCCATTATTCTCTTCTACACATTATTCAATTTAACAGCATACAGTGTAAGAAGTGAATCCACAACTTCAACAACTGACTTATAAAAGATGGATAGTGTATACATTACGATTACCACCTGCAGAATCAAGCTGCAATGCACGGATATCTTCTTCAATATCTATCAACAAACACCACAAGAGCAGACAGTAGACCAATGTTAAGACCCGCCACCAAGTTAGGATAACACAGTGTCATCCATGTCAATGAAACAATAGCAGCACCAGACTAGGCAATGAATCCAACTAATCCATAAATAATGGAGCTCCAAGCAAAAAAATTACTGCAGATTCTCACAGAAGCAGAACCACAAAATTTCCCCAATAATCCCCCAAACAAATCCTAAACTACTGCCTAACCTCATAGAACTCATACACGAAGCACAACAATTCATTGAACTGCTACGGGATAAACCCGAGCAGAGGGAGACGGACATCGAGTGATGAAACAATAACAAATTCACAAACTCCCAACTATAACTACAAGGCAATGCTAAGCACGCGTTTTCACATCAAATTAGGCGAACTAAACCAAAACCACCAGCTAGAAAGTAACAGCCAGTCAGATCGGAAGCAGAGAGACGAGCATCGAGCATCGAAGAAGTTCTTCGCCAACGGATAAAAGAGAGAGCAGAATCAATAAACGGCGATAAGGAATTGCGAAGGCCTACCCATTGCACGAATATGGATTGGATATGGTAGGGTTTACGGAGTAAGAGAGCGAGATGGAGACGCCGAGCCGGGGAAAATAGAGGGAGGAGGAGGAGCGGCGGTCCTGTTGATTCTGTGACTGTTCCGCGTGCTGACTGCGAAGTTCCGTCCGGCGCTTTGAGGGTTTTTATATGGAGGGGTTTCAGGTTGGGCTCGTGTTGTTGCCCAACGCGGTACATTTGGAGCACTAACGGCGGTTCCTTTTTATCCACGGCAGAAACTTCATCCTTCCCTAAAATTCAGCTTTGCAAAAATGGCGATTAGTAGGAATTAATGTACTCAAAATTTCGTTTTGAAGCGTACAAATTTATATATTTACCAAAACGCTTTTACATATAATCGCGCTTTTCATATACTTATATAGTTAAAATTTACGTTTTAAAACTTAAAAACTTACAGTCTTGCGCTTCTAGGTCACTAAAACGGTTTTACGTAGAATCGTGCTTTTGATTACATTTGTAGGAATGCTTACGATCTGGTAGGGTCGACAAAATAATTTAAGTTTTATTTATATTCATTACACATTCAATAATCAGAAAGAATATCATGTTTATATTCATATACTATTGGGTTTAGGCTATTCGCAGTTATTTCATGAATCGTGACTAACATGTTACTCATTACATATATATTAACATTACATATATATTAACATGAAAACATTACATGAATGAAAAATAAAATAAATTACTAGAATGAATAAAAGTAATTAAAAGCAACACAATTTTGTGAAAATATTATATTTGTAAAAAATATATAGAATATTTCCACTGTCAGCTTATATGTTCACCATGAACCGCTTAATTGTGTCATAATTACCAATCCTGCGGGAGTATGAACTCTTAGTTCAAGTCTAAATTGTACAATAAGGGGGTTTTATGCTCCAATCTATCGTAATGTTGATGTGCATGAGATTCATTGATTGGTTTAGTCATATAAACACATAAACCGCTTAACTGTCATAATGGCAAAACGTGCATGAGTACGAACTCTTAGTACCGAGTCCAAATTGTACCATAAGGGGGATTCGTGCTCCAAATATCTTGTAATGTTGGTGGACATGTGAATCATTGATAGGTTTAGTCATATAAACACATAAACCACTTAATTGTGTCATAATGACAAAACGTGCACAAGTACAAACTCTTAGTACCGAGTCCAAATTGTACAATAAGGAGGATCCGTGCTCCAAATGTCTTGTAATGTTGGCGACCATGTGAATCTTTGATAGGTTTGATCACATTAACACATAAACCGCTTAATTGTGTTATAATGACCAAACGTGCACGAGTACGAACTCTTAGAACCTAGTACAAATTGTACAATAAGGGAGATTCGTGCTCTAAATTTCTTGTAATGTTGATGAACATGTGAATTATTGATTGGTTTAGTCATATAAACACATAAACTGCTTAATTGTGTCATAATGACCAAATGTGCACGAGTACGAACTCTTAGTATCGAGTAAAAATTATACAATAAGGGGGATCCGTGCTCCAAATATCATGTAATGTTGATGGACATGTGATTCATTGATTGGTTTAGTCGTATAAACACGTAAACCGCTTAATTGTGTCATAATGACCAAACGTGCACGTCTACAAACTATTATTACCGAGTCCAAATCGTACAATAAGGGGGATTTGTGCTCCAAATGTCTTGTAATGTTGATGGGCTTGTGATTCATTGATTGGGTTAGTCATATAAATTCATAAATCGCTTAAATATGTGATAATGACAAAATGTGCATGAGTATGAACTCTAAGTACCGATTAAAATCGTATAATAAGGGGATTCATGCTCCAAATGTCTTGTAATGTTGATGGACATGTGATTGAATTATTTGTTTAGTCATATAAAAACATAAACCGCTTAAGTGTGTCATGACATAACATGCACGAGTACGAACTCTTGGTACCGAGTCCAAATTGTACAACAAGGGGGATTTGTGCTCCAAATATCTTGTAATGTTGATAGACATGTGAATCATTGATTGGTTTAGTCATATAAACACATAAACCGCTTAATTGTGTCATAAAGACCAAACATGCACATGTACGAACTCTTAGTACCGAGTCCAAATCGTACAATAAGGGGGATTTGTGCTCCAAATGTCTCTTAATGTTGATGGACATGTGATTCAATGATTCGTTTAGTCATATAAACACATAAACCACTTAATTGTGTCATAATTACCAAACGTGCAGGGGTACGAACTTGACTCACTTCTACTGTCACTCTAGAAAATGGCCAAGTGTAACCACTTCCTAAAGTGTAGTATAGCGGGTTTGGGTTTTAATGTCAACCCGGGTCCTAGATTTGATGACTACTCGGTGAATTCTTGTTATCTAGCAGTGAAACTTTAGTGCAAGTCCAAATTAACAAACAAACAAAGCAAGTTAAACGGTTGTTTTCAAGTCGAGAGAGGTCACCCAGATATGGTTCTCCCTAGACTGCAGTTAAGCCGGATTGCAATTTACCCAGTTCAGTTTTCATGAAAGTTATACTGCGGAAGGTTCTTAAACAGTCTGAAGTCTCGACTAAAGGTCTCCAGACCCTCTCAATCTGAGTCTCCAGCGGGCGACTAACCTCCACCGGAGTAAACAGATTCAGGCCCTAACGAACCAAACCTCCACTACCGAATTGAATTCGGTACAGAATAATGAATTGGCTTCTCGACTAAAGTCACCAATTCACTACCTCCAATTAAGGGTGCTCTATCAACCTAGGCAGATATTCTCTTTTTAGGTTAAAGCAGAAACAACAGGAATGTGATCAGGATTCAAGTCATTCAATCATTCAAGCCTCAATCAAATATAATCAAATCATAAACTCTGTACTTGGGTTCATACAATCAGACCTAACATACAAATCTAGGGTTCCCCATACCCAGATGAATGGGGAAACTACTCCATGGAGAGAGAAGCAAAAGCAGATTCAGACGCGGAAATCATACTGTGAAGGATGAGTTTCTGCTCCTGGTTGTCAATCGGTACTTCTCCAAGCTCAAACCGGGCTCCAATGGTGATGAAGATCAAGCTATGGCACTTGGGAACTCTGGTTCGTCGCTTTCTCTCTCTAGGAATCACTCTGTCTCTCTAAAACTCGGAACCCTTTGACTTTTAGCCTTCTTTTCCTTTAAAACTGCTGCCTGTCGCGATACCCGGTCGAAATACCCGGTCGGGTATTTTGGACCTCGACCGGGTATAATTGAAACGCGCGTTTCGCCTCAGGGAAAAATCCCCGGTCTATGCCAATAATCCTCGAACGGGGATTTAAGCTTCACGACCGGGACCCCCTTTGTTCCTCAGACATCCAAAACGATAAATACTCGGTCTCCTCAAAATAATACCCAGCCGGGTATTTCTGGTCATGGCCGGGTATTTTTGTCCTCCAGCCCACTTCGACCCAAACGAGCTCCTTTCGATCCGAAACTCGTTTCTTCGCCTCGATTCCAATGCCAAGTCCTAAAATATGACATAAACGCACAACCTAGCGTGAAATCGGCTTAAAACACGAGAATCAACCTCTCAAACGGCTCAAGAATGGGGGTGAAAACATGTGCAATTATCGGTCTATCAGAACTCTTAGAACCGAATCCAAATTGTACAAGAAGGGGGTATTTATGCTCCAAATCTCTCGTATTGTTCATTTACATGTGATTCATTGATTGGTTTAGTCATATAAACCACTTAAGTGTCATAATGAAAAACATGCACGAGTACGAACTATTAGTACCGAGTCCAAATTGCTACAATAAGGGGGACTTGTGACCCAAATGTCTTGTAATGTTGATGGACTTGTGATTCAGTGATTGGTTTAGTCATAGAAACACATAAACCCCTTAATTGTGTGATAATGACAAAATGTGCACAAGTACTACCGAGTACAAATTGTAAAATAAGGGGATTCATGCTCCAAATGTCTTGTAATGTTGATGGACATGTGATTGAATTATTAATTTAGTCATATAAAAACATAGTCGCTTGATTGTGTCGTAATGATATAACGTGCACGAGTACGAACTCTTAGTACCGAGTCCAAATTGTACAGCAAGGGGGATTTGTGCTCCACATGTTTTAACCACCAATCTTGAACCGTTTGAGAGTCGATTCTCGTGTTTTAAGCCGAATTCACGCTAGGTTGTTCGTTTATGTCATATTTCAGGACTTGGCGTGGACGTGGAGGCGTGGAGACGAGTTTCGGGTCCAAAAGTAGAGAGTTGGAGCGAAAGGAGCTGGAAGGAGAAAATAACCGGCCAGGCCCCGAAATACCCGACCGGGTAAACGAGAAGGAAGCACCAGGGGAAGCTCCTTTGGAGGCCAGGAGATCAGAAGGGGCCCCGGCCAGAAGGCATAAATACCCGATCGGGTATTCTAAACCTCGATCGGGTATTTCCGCTTCCCCATTGCGCTGTGTTTTAAAATACCCGACCGGGTATTGACGCCGGGTATCGCGATCTGGAGCTTTTGAAGGGAAGAAGGCCTCTTTTGGAAGGGTATCCGATTTTTAGAGAAAGAAAGCAAAAAACCTAGAGAGAGCGACGAACAGAACTTCCAAGCGCCTTAAATAATCGATCTCCAACACCATTGGAGATCGGGAGAAGATTGGAGAAGTGCCGATTGATTAGCAGAAGCATATTTTCATCATTCACAGAATGATTTCCGCATCTGAAGCAAATTTCTCTTCTCTCTCTATGGAGTAAACTCTCTCACCCACCTGGGTATGAAGAACCCTAGATTTGTATGTTAGGTTTGGTTGTATGAACCCAAGTACAAGTTCTTTGGTACTGATTATATTCAATTGAGGCATGATTTACTGAATTGCATGAATCCTGAACAAATTCATGTAGTTCCTGCTTTTACCTAGAAAGAGAATATCTTCCTAGGTTTATAGAGCACCCTTAATTGAAGGTAGTGAATTGACGAATTTAGTCGAGGAGTCGGTTCACTATTCTGTAATGGATTAACTCCAGTAGAGGCGGTTTGGCACATTAGGGCCTCAGTCTGTTTACTCCGGTGGAGGTTAGTCGCCGCTGGTGATTCAGATTGAGAGGGTCTTGAGACCTTTAGTCGAGACTTCAGACTGTCTAAGAACCTTCCGCAGTATAACTATCATTGAAATTGGACTGGGTGAATTACAAATTGGCTTAACTGCAATCTAGGG